GCCCTGGCCTTCCGGAAGCTTCCTGGAGGTAAGCAGCTTTTGTTTGTTTGCGCGCCCACGTGTGGCGGCTCCTGTGTTTTGGCTTGTCCTTTTTTGCTGCAGCTTAGGCTTTTGCTACCCTTCTATACTTTCTATTGTTATTGCATTACTGTAGGCCACATAGGAGGCTGGTCTTCCTCCTGTTTATAATCTCCCTTAAAGTGCTAGAAGCCCACAATGAGGCCTTTTTTTCTCTGAGGTAAACAAACCCAATTTCCTCGACTTTTCTTGATAGGAGAGATGCTGCAGCCCTTTGCTCGTCTTTGTGGCCTTCCTCTGGACCCGCTCTAGCGGGTCCGCATTATTTCTCGTGCTGTGGGCCCCGGGCCTGGGCACAGGAGTCCGGCTGGGGCTTATTAGAAATGGGCGTGTGATGTTCTTCTAGTCACTGGGGAGTTGTCTGACAAATGTGACTTATAAAATGTGACGGACTTATCAAGTGTGGCCGTCGCACGGGGTGGTCTCTTTGGGACTCTGGGATGCGTGTTATCAGGCCCCACGGACTCGAGCACGTTTATTCTCATTGGGTAGTCTTAGACTCGCTCTTCTCTTACATCGGGAGGGATTTTGCTCCCACAGCCCCCGCCCAGAAGTTTAGGGACGTGAGAGATATGGAAAGCCAGATAGCCAGCAAGAATTGCGGCAAAAAACTCGCTGAGCGCCTCAACCTTCTCTATGTCCGTTGTTTCCTTTTCTCCTTTCTCGCTTATCGGAGTACATTTACCTTGGCCTTTCTCTTCTGAGCAGCGTACCAGTAAAAAATCCTTTCTTGTTAGTTGTTATTATCTCCTACCGAGTTCCATTTCATCTGCGTGTTGGTTGTATTGTCTTCGTGTGCCTGAAAAGCATCTCTGCGTTCTTCCCGGGCGACGCGTCCCCGTTTCCCCTGCCCTCGCTTTCTCCTTCTTTTCTCCAAGTTATTATTTGGCGGGTCATTGCTCTGTTGCGTGTTGGTTTCCTGCCTTCTGAGCTCGGTTTCTACTGCTGGGGGGGCTGGAGGAAAGCATTCTTGAGGAGTTCCTTTTATGGTTTTTTATGATTTAACATTAGAGGAAAATGAAATACTTATGTTTGTGTATTTCATGTGAAATTCTTGTCTGTTTCTGCAGGTGGGCCTTCTTGACGGCGTGAATCTCGTGCGTGGTAAACTGAATAAGAGATCTCTGAGCACAGAATGTACTGCGGTGTTAACAACTGGGGCCACGTAAAAGGGTATTTTCCTAGTTTTTGGGTTTTTTTTTTTTGTTGGAAAAAATAGTAAAATACTCTGAGTTGGAGCACTGCTATTGCAAATTTACATCTGGGAATCAGATTTGTCGGAAACTAGTTAGTTTCTGAGGATATGGCGAGTAAATTTATTTTAAGAGGTAGATGATTGTCCTGTCTGTGAACCGAGCAAATTCTTCCTTCAGCCTTTTTAAGGGAGACCTCAGATTTTGCCTTTCATGTTAGTGTAAATAATTGGGAAGAGGGTTCAGCGAGTCAGACCGCGAGTTCAGGCTCGTGCTCTTACGTTTGATGGTCTTACTTTATCAGACTACTGTTAAAAACAGAACTAGGGAAAAGCCTGTCGGCCCGTTTGTCTCCACAGTCGTCTTCCCCAGCAGTACCGACCGGTGTGGTCAGTTTTCTTCCTCGGAATTCATCTGTCTCGTTATCGTGCACTTTTGCTAGGCTAGCGAAGTTAGGGGGATCTCATCTCTGGGGAAACGTACTGAGAAGGATAAGCAATTCCGCTTCCCTCTGGAAAGCGGTTCTGTCTGACCTCATGAGGCCGGTGTGTTTCTGTAGTCTGAACAGCTTGTATTGTAAGCGCTAAGACTTGCGTGTCTGTAAGGGAACTTTCAAGTCAGGGCCCGAACTGCTGATTGAGCACCTGGAATAAAAGACCGGGTGAGGCTTGGGAGCGCAGGTGAAGGCGATTTACCTGTGGAAAGGGAAGGAACGGAGCCAGTCTCCACCCCTCTGAAACCTCATTTAAGGGCCGACTGTTGCTGAGGAAGCATCTCTCCTAGGAGATCCTCCTTTGTGGAGTTCTTCAGCGAGCCTAGATCTTCAGAGATGGGTGAGCATTGCTCTTTTTGTGACATTTTCTCTTTGAGGTGGTCCGGGTGCAGTTACAAAGATGAAATCTTAAACTTTGCTCTTTCCTTACTTTTCCTCCTTCTACTCCTGTTTCTTGTTGTCTCGGGTACTTATGAACCTATGAGCTGCTGAGAAAGATTTAATTGTGTAAGGAAGTTTAGGAGAACTCCTGTTGTCCTCATACATTTAATTTTTATTAATTTCAGGTAAAAAATCCTCTTAGTTTAACATTCACTGTGTAGTTTTGGGGAGAGGAATTTACTTTCTCAGCTTGGTAACTGCGTTGATGCGGAAGGGAGATGACTGTAAATGTTACCACGTGTAAGTGTAGAAGCTAGACGTGAGTAGAGCTTCCTCACGTGCCAAGGGATAGGTGCTCTATGTAGACAGGACAAATGTCAAAGTATCGGAAACTGTTCATGGTGAAATGCCATTTGCTGTTGATGAGCTTACATGAATTGAGGATTTTGTTTCTGATTTGTCATAAAAGTTAAAAAGAAATATTGTTTTTCTTCACTGATAGAGGAATATACTCACATAGTGTGGGCCTGTAGCTCTACAGCGAGGGCAAGGAGAGTTTATACTTGCATTTATAAGCTGCATTTTTAAGGAAAGACATTAAAGAGACTGGTTTATGTACCGGAAGCTCTGTTCTGAACATTTTGGACCGTTAGAGTTTTTTGGTGGATTTAGGCTTTAGCTATAAGCTGTTTGTCTTGCTCAGCCATTCTGGATATTAATGATAGGATACATGCTAATAACTTGAACTGTAAAATGACTCATGTTAGCAGTTAAAAATATCCTATTTTGGGAGGGAGAAAATCTTAATGGTAGCTACGAATTAATAACTGATTTAAGACAGATCTTATTTTATTCCTCTAGTAGAGGGAATGCATCCATTATCTTCACTGTCAAATAGATCCCGATGCAGTAACTGCTGTTCCTTATGTGTTTTAACTATGCCTAAAAGTTTATCAGCAATCAGAGCCACCCCCCTGCTTGTGAGAATGCTAGTGTTGCAGAAGGGAGCTGTATTCACCTGTGGTTGAGTTCCAGGTGTGCATTACATCTTTGAGTAGGTGAGGAAAAGACTTGTAAGGTAAGGGGGTGTAGAAACCACAGCCCACATCAGGAAAAAGCCTTTCCTCTTTGTACCCCCTCAAACAAACAGCTAACTCAACCCCATACAATACAGGCTCCAAGCATTTTTGGGAATAAGCGAGATAGCGAGAGGCTGGGAGACAGGCACCAGGCAGAGCCCAGAGCTTCTTGGCAGAGGCAGCTCTCTTTGGTACTTCTACAGTCAGGACACAGGAGTCAAATGTGTTTTTATTATGCTTGCTGATTACACTTAATTAGAAGGAGCTGCAGTCTGCTCCGGTAGAGAAAGGGTCTGTAGCAGCAAGCTGGTTTGTCACCCATCACGTGAAGCTTGTCAAAAGCAAGTACCTGGGACCAGGCCACCCCAGTTACATATACAGATGAGGAAGAGGCCAGAGCGCTGCCCTGTAGAAAGGAATCCAGAGGCAAATCCAGGGGCTGCAGGCGGCAGCAAGTTAAACTTGAGTCAGAAGCATAACTGGAAGTCCAGGGGGCTGACCGCACGCTAGCAGCTGAGCAAAGGAAAGGATCATCCTGCTCTGCAGCATTGCAGATTCGCTGTAAGCGCTACTTGCAGTTCTAGGCAACGCAGCATAAAACAAAAGCAACAAAGGTCTTCAAAAGCATTCAAGGAAGGGCTCTAACTCCCTCTTTCCAACTTGCTTCCAGCAGGCTACAGCTTCTTTTCCCCCATAGCTACCAATAGGATGGGAGGGAAGAGCCTGATGTTAAGTTAGCTCTCATCTGAGCCTCCTCTAAGGAAAAACTTGCCTGAAGGAGGTATTGGAACAGGCTTGCCTAGGGCCACCAGAACGACCAAAAGCATTCGGTTGCCACTCAGCGCGGCTGAAGCTTAGGCAGGCACCACACAGAGCTGGGAGGCATGGTCTAATGCAGACTAATGTGGATGCTTTGTCATTCTGTAAACAGGAAGAAACACTTGAGTTAGTACTTGCTTCTTCATAGATTTCTCATCTCAGTAATCTACATTTTAGGCATCCCTGTGGGAAGACAAGCCTCCATCCTGTTTATCACAAGGAACAGCGCATCAAGAACCCGCCACCATCTCACCTTGAACTTGTGAGTAAAACAACATAACTTATAAAACTCTGTGGAAGTCAAGTCATTAGGAAATCAGTATTGTATCTAACTCAAACTGCATGTTATATCCTGAATTATCTACGTGTTGCACTTCTGGTGCTATTTATCATTAACTGAATGCAAAGCCAATTAATTGCAAAAGGATACAATATACTACACACAAACATTTAACACAGAGGCAGAACCTCAACACCATACCATTTATTTTGTTGAATAGCTCAATGCAGAACAAAGTATTTTTGTAATGTATTTTTGTAATTAGAATTCAGTCTCAGGTTGGGACAAAGTCTACAGGAACTAACTTCAAGACTCAACAGTTTTTCTGTGAAGCACTAGCTCAGGTTACCTCAGGTTACCTAGCAAGAAACTGTAGTTTTCTGTGAACTTAAGTAAGATTATCTTAAGTAAGGAAAGCAGGAGTTCTTTTTGCAAGACAGCCACTGCCACTCCACTCTCAGAACAGCACGCTCAGCTTTGAATTCAGGGCAGCTTCCTGAGCTCAATAAACACTTCTATCCCAACGTAGAGCTGCAACAATACAAACACTGGCACCACAGCAGGCAACTTCATTCAGCAAGTAAAACAAGCCCGACACACTGTACTTTTGCAGTAGATAACTTCTAAAAATGTTACTGATTTAAGTCTTTCTTTTTCTTTTGCAGAGCATGCAGCGCCAGATAGCCAGTAGCTGAAGCAATCATTGCTCTCCCTTTTCATGTTCCAAGATTAATAACATGAGCATCAAGAGACCCAGGCCCGAGCACAGAAAGACAGCACATCTTTTTTTTTGGCGGTAAGCAAGGATTTATTGTTGTTTTAAGTCAGAGACAGACAGGTACCCGCTTCACCTCAAAAACCTTGAGCGAGCTAAGCCTAACCGTTGTAGCCCAGATATCATAGTCATCCCAGTTCCTGCGCACTGCAGAGCATTTGCACCTGCTGTAGAAACAAAAAGCCTTCAAGCCAATAATTCTTTCTAAAAAAGGGACACATCACCCACTTCTTACCCTTCAAAAGCAAGCTTAGTTACTCATACCTTGGGGGCATATGCTGAAGTGAGAAGAGTAGAATTAGTGATCTCCTATCTTCTTGCTGAAATGAGTGGACTTGTCAAAGAGGCAGACCTTGATTTTCACTGCTTGCTTAAAATATAGTTTTCAGTTTTTAAGTTGCCCATCTGGTAATTCAATTGGCTACACTTTACAGGAAGCACACTCTTAAATGCTGAGTTAAACCTTACTCACAAGAGCTTTCTGAACTTACTTACTTTCTTTAAAAAATTAGTTGAGTTAGCTTCAGAGCTATTGCAAAAGGAACTTTTGCAAGCATTCATTCTGCATTTCCATTAGACTATTTTCCCAAGAGGAAATGGCAAAGTTATCTTCCTTACCACCTCTATTTATATTTAGCTTGCTGGTACTGTAAACCATCCTTAGCACAGACAGGACACATACCAAGACACACACCACAGTAGCATTTCACCTCTAGCCACTTAGCCCAACCCCTTTAGGAGGGGAATCCCAACAGCCCCCAGACACATGAAATTAATAAGCAGAGCAACCACCCTCTCCCATCACAGAGACAGCCTCAAACAGGTTTTAGCTGAGGCTTGAAATAAACTGAGTTCTTTCAGCAGGACACAGAACCCAGTTTGTCATCTCTATCTCCCACCTTCAGGCCAGGAGCACCACCACACAGGAGCCACTCCAGGATCCAGGGAAGAGACCCCCTCACCAGGGAAACCCCCCCTCCCACCCAGGGGGAGCCCCAGTAGACACAAGGGGCTCCCTCCTCAGCCCTTCCCAGGGGCTGCCACAGCCCAGCCCGAGAAGAAAAAATTCCGTTACTGACCTGCACCCACCCTCCCACCCAAAAAAAATAATCTCTTCGAGATAGTGCAAACCCCAGCAAACAGCCCCAACCCAAGGGGGGAAGCACAGCTCATGCAGAGCATGAGCTGTGCTTCCCCCCTTAGCCAGCAAAAGCCACCACAACTGCAGACACCCAGAGCTGAAACCAAGAAATAGCACCACTTACCTCACCAGAAAGAGCTCCAAGAGGACACTCAGGCAGATCCTCACTGCATGACAAACAAGACTGAAAACTCCAGTCAGGCAAACATCCACAAAGAACAGTTCATTCATTATTGCCAGAGACAACCTACAAAAAAAATCACTGAAATCCATTCCTTTATACAACACAGGTACACCATCTCAAACTCATTTTCAAACACCATTACTTTACTTCACTTCCATACAACTTGTTCCATAATTTTTTCCAACAACATAAGAACAATTCCAACTGCTTCTGTCCAGACTCACACCTGTAACAGTTACACATAGATCAGAACACCCCAGTCTCAACTTATCCTATGCTACATACATAAATATTCACACTTCCAACAATAGAAAAATAATTTTCAAATACACACACTAAGAAAAGTTTCTCCACCCTTGTGATTCATCCCAGTATGAAATACTAGCTCTATCAAAGCATAATCACCAGTACAGGTTCTAAGCTATTAGGGGACATGGCAAAGGAGCAATACTCAAGAACAATTCTAACACACACTTTACAAAAGCAGGAATACTCACCACCAGGGAATCCAGTGATGTCTCCTTGGTCCACAGGGTGGCAGCAGGTTGGTCAGCAACATCACCTTCACTTAGTCACTTTTCAGCAGATGGGGTATCCATTCTTCCTCAAAACTCTTCCATAATCTGTAGTCACACCCCAGATGCACGCCACTGACAAGGCTTTGAGCCAGGCACCATTCCTCCTTCTCACAACACCTGGCAGTGCTAAGCTTGTCACTGTCCCACAATGGCTTCAAGAAAAAGAAATATTAAGATGAATGATGGGAGAAGGGAAAGACATTTAAAAATCACAATAAAGCAAAAGAACAATGTGTGAGTGCTGCAAATACACATAACAAAACTCCTCTTACCTATAGGTCACCAAGAGACTACAAAAAGTAATCTAATATCGAGGCCAACTGTCAAAATCCATGGGTAGTTTAAGCTGGGCCAGTCACCTCATCACATGCCAACTTTCACATATTATATGATTACAAGCAAACATCTCTGCAAGGCAAAAATAAGATCACAATTGGGTGAAACACAGAACTAAAAACACATCTTGCTTTTCATGACTATCTAAGGAGCATTACCAACCAATGGCATTCTCCATCCTTCTACACCCTTTTCAGGGCACAGTATCTCTTCTGTATCATGGCTAACAGTAACAGAACTCTTATCGTCTCTTACCTTGGATGCATTCTAGCAGTTGATGCAGATTGCCACAATGCAGATAATTTCTTTACCAATGCAAGATTCATTCCAACTGGGGTAGGCAGCAAGTCTTGGATTACCGTATAATTGGAGCATACAACAGCTATGATGTAACCAGAACCAAAACCTTCAAGTCACATCCCATAATGTTAGCAAAGTTGCTCACACACACATCTGAATGATCGCTTGTATCTACAATATTACCTTTAAGTATAAAATTGTAAGACGGTCTCACTGCAATGCCTCTCAAAATGAGAAATATTTCGCTCAGAGTCAAGACAGATGCCTCAAGCCTCGATGACATTACTCTCACAAGTCAGTCCCCGCTGTTCCCATACAACACATGAACAGAAACAGTTTGCCATTTTTTGCCATTCTGTTGGGCCCATACTCAATGTTCTAATGAGTAGGGCTTAACCCCATTGTTATTCAGTCCCTGCACAATGATTAGGTATACAGTATATGACAAAGCATTGCATATTGTTAGGACAAAAGCTGTAGTAAAGTTATTGACAGGAACACAAGTAAAATTACCTATATGCCACAGAGATTAAAATTATCTTACAGATTTGATTGCATTGTCCCAGCTCACCTATAAAATTTAAATAAGTGTTTCCTTTACATTCTACAATAAAGACATTATTTTGAATTATAGCAAGTGCATCTACCAATAACTGGTGGTCTCTTATATTAATTCTTCACCATTGACATAATACTTTAGAAAAAAAACACCAATCGGGACACAGCGCTAACAGCAAAGACTGCAGGGGTGCTGCAATGCACATAACTCACTTGTTGCATCTGACACCCCATTGTCAGTCTTTGTCCCGCATCTCCTCAGAGTGGCACGAGTCAGCCAGCACTATCCTGGCCCCATTCGTTTCCTCCATATTTCAATACTGGGCTTAACTGCAGTTGAAAGGGTTAAGCCTTCATTACAATTAGTCTTTGGTCCCATATGCCCAGTATGCTCAATATGGGCATGGAACCATAACAAACCGTGAAATATAATAGGGTCAGCATAAACAATTATTAAAAAAAAAAAGATACCTGTCTGAAACAGCAACAATAATGATACTACAGGGATCCCGGAGAAAGGATGATGAAGAATGATGAAGGTAACACATAGGGCACAGCAGCAGGATCGGCATTTGTTAGCACCTGCAAAACAGAAGAGAGAACACTTCCCGGTTCCAGAGGAACCAAGGGTAGAGAAAGCATAATTGGAGAAAACAAAGAAACCCCACTTTCCCAGTCCCCAATGAACCAAAAAGTTGGAAGTGGGTGAAATCCAGATGGTTAATCTCATACATTTTCCCCTGATCAACTTGAGCCTTTCATATGCACTTAACAGGCTCACTGAGTGCTAAATGGACAGGGCCAACTGGCACCAAGTTGATCAATATCAGCTGTCCTGGGAAGTAATCATCCCAATAAGCAGCTCTTCAAGTAAGTGACCACAGGGCACAGCAGTTGCCACTGATAAGAAGTATTCCGGATCCCCAGTAACCTTCCGATTCCCTTTCGATGAACAGGATCTGTTCCCCCCCCTTTAGTGGGGCTTTACACACGTACTCCGTCTCCGATTTCCTAGGGATGTGACCAAAATCCTTCCATAATAGGGGACCTCCTCGATACTAACATCAGAGCACCCACCTTCACTCTCTTCATACGCACGCCCAGTTTCTATCGGAGGGCAGAGAAGGGTCACCAGGTTTTCCAATTTGCCTTTCTAGGCTCTCGCCGCCTCCAAATTTTCTCCTGGAGGAAAGTCTTTACCTGGAAAACTAGCATTAATCTCTCTCTCTCATTTACTAACTGCTCCTCGAGGGCTTGCTGAAGGAGGGCTTTTAAGTGTTCGTCTTTTTCTGACCGTCCCTTAATATCTTCTACTTGGTCCTGCAAGGATAGAAAAATTTGGGTTTCTGCCACATGCTGTTCAATACATCTCTCTACAACAGCACTAAGAGCAGCTCCGAGAACTGCACAAGTGATTGTTTTTCCCTTTTCCTCCCCCACACGAGTTTACTTGGAAAGACTTTATGATCTGCAACTCCCTCTAAGCTGGGCCAATTACTCTGTGCCCGCTCCAACTCCACAGGGGAGGGTTTGGCACCGTGCGTTTCTAAGAGGTCGAGAAGCAGATTCCCTCCCCCGTTCATTTTTTTTTCTCCCCACTCAACAACTTGCTCCTCACACCCCCAGAGGGTACACATGTACTCGCTCCAACTGTAAGGCAGTTGATAGTACTGCCTGGATATCTTCGGGTCATCCTCGAGATACAGCGCCTAATAGCTCAGACAAGTATGCAATGTTTGTTATTTTGTTTCCCCATTCTGGTGTTAGAACTCCTAAAGCTACACTGACTGTTACAAAAAGGTGAAGTGGTTCCTTTAAGGCAGGCAGTCCTAACACAGGACTTAATCCAGCTGTGATTAAGTTCCATTTCAATCCTTCAACTACCTCTTTTCTCTCTTTTGTCCATTTTAAGAAGTTGGGTTCTCCCTCAGATAGTTTGATAGACAACCTCCTTGGTTTTTTTGTATCTGTTTTTCTATTCGTAATCTAAAGTATTCAGTTAAACCCAGGAACTCTCACAACTCCCTCTTTGTCCAGGAGGGAGGAAGCTGCACAATTCAAGTCCTTCCAGAATTGTTTTCCCTCAGAAGTCACATACCCAAGGTATCTGACTTCTTTTTCCACATACTGCAGTTTATTTTTAAACACCCTTAGCCCTTGCTCCCCAAGAAACTGAGGAGTTTACTTAGACTCCTCCATCTGTGAGAGATCAGACTCATTCAAGTATAGGGGCTAGGAACCAGGGGGCGCTGCTTAAGAATTTTTCCATTAACTTTTCCCTCACATCTTGTACCAGCCAATAGGTACCACCTGCCTTTTATGCTGGCAAAGCTCCAGTGCTATAAGCTGACACACAGAGTTTCGGAAGACCGTGCTTAACTAATGTTTGTATTACAGGCTTTAAACCCATTATCCTTTCTAAAGGTATGGGATATTGGTGCAGTTTTACACCTTCACTCTCTCCTTGGAGGGTTATTTTTTAAGGGAGTAATCCAGCCCACCCCAGTTTCCTTCCCCTGCCCATAGCTTCAGCAGGATTTTTTCCATCATCAGCTGTTAAGTTCATTGACACCTGTTTTGAAAGTTTTCAACTGCAATCTTAATTTAACTAAGAAATCTCTCCGCAGTAAACTGGTCCCTGCTTCTGGCTCATAAAACAACTGCCCTGTGACTATTTTATCTTCCCATTTTAATCCAGTAGTCTCAAGAAGTAAAACTATCATTCCTGATCCCTATACCCCTGTTATTCTCTAGGTGTCCCCAGTAGAACTAAATCCCAATATTTTATAAGCTAAAGATGACCAAGAATCAAACTGCTCTGCTAATCCAATTAGATCTTCCATTAATGATCTCCCTTTTAAAAAACCAATACAAATACTACCTACCTGGGGGGGGAAGAACTCTCCCCTGCTTCTTCCACATGCGCAGCACAGCTCCCAGCCCGAGGACCTTCCTCTCAAGACACTGTTTTCTCACCTCTCCACTATTAAGTGGAGAGCTTACGTATCCTGTATCTCCTGATAACATTTGGAACTTCCCTAAGAGGATACACAGAAGTGTTAGTGAGGTTAATGGAGTTAGAAAGAAGAGAATTTTTAACGTCCCTTTTGCCTTGTTCCAGTTCCTTCTTAAGCTGGCAGAACTTTGTTTTTTCAGTACCAGCAGTAATCACAGAGCTCGCTTCAGTGAAGCCAGTACCCTTCACTGTCAGCGGTCTCATCAGACGCATATTTTGGTGAAAGTACTTACTTCCCCTGCAATTGCCTGTTTAGGCCATACAACACCACAATATCTAATTATTTTCTCTTTATACTTATCCTTAGTTCTAGAATTTCTCCACCAGTTTTTCCATCGCACTTTGTAAAGGACTTACGGCAGGCACTGCCCTGGGGAGCCCTCTCTCTGTCCCAGCTTGGAACTCTCGTTCCCCATTTCTCTCAGCAGCCTATGGTCATGCTACTGCAGAACATGCTACTGCTCTTCTGCAGCATCAGAAGCCACCCGCTCTAAGGGATCCAAACAGGGGCTCCAGGGCCAAGGGAGTACGCAACATACAGCCACCAATGGGACTGGTGACAGGCTGATGGAGCTGGGCTTGTTCAGCCTGGAGAAAAGAAGGCTGCAGGGCGACCTCACTGCAGCATTTCAATACCTAAACAGAGCCTATAGAGGGGAGCTGAATCAACTCTTCGAAAGGGTAGATAACTGCAGGATGAGGGGAAATGGTTTTAAGTTGAGGGAGGGGAGATTTAGGTTGGGCGTCAGAGGGAAATTCTTTACAGAGGGCGTGGTGAGGTGCAGGCACAGAATGCCCAGAGAGGCTGTGGATGTCCTGTCCCTGCAAGTGTTCGAGGCCAGAGTGGATGGGACCCTGGTCTAGCATTAAGTGAGGAGGTTGGTGGCCCTGCATGTGGCAGGGGGGGTTGGAGATTCACGATCCTTGAGGTCCCTTCCAACCCTGGAATTCCAATTCTGTGATTCTGTGATCTACCCAAGGACCACCGCCCAGTGCCTACCTGGGTGATCTCTGTTTCTTCCACATGTGCAGTACAGCTCCCAGCCTAGGGATAAGGACTTTCCTCTCAAGACACTGGCTGTACCAGGACCTGAGAGACAAAAAAAAAAAAACAAAAAAAAACACCTCAGCAGCACTGGATCTTGCCAACCAAGACAACAGACCACCCCGCTACAAGAAACAGCGCCAGGACCCCAAGCTTTCCCAGATAACAGTTGCTGGAGTCCTGCAGGCTGCTCTTCTCACCTCTCACTCAGGCAATTCCACTCCTCCAGGAGCAGGCCTGCCACAGACCTTTAAAGCTGAAATCAAGAAATCAAGATACACCATCACCTCAAACAAGAAGAATTTGTGTCTTCTGGCATCTGCTCCCAGCCAAAAACTCCAGCCTGGGGGCAGCACACACAGGTCAGGTACAGAAGGACACTGCTTACCTCACTCCATAGACTCTCACAGCAGGATCCCCCCTCCAGCCCTGAACCTGCGGGCAGAGCTCCACGAACAGCTTCTGAGCAGGTGCAGGGAGTGGGCAGCCCTCAGGTCACAGGGTTCACACCCGTGGCCATCCCCCACCACTCCCCCCCAAACACTTACCTCCTTCATCCCACTGAAGATGAAACCACTCCCATACTCAAGTAGATCCTCACTGTTAAATGCTCTGTTGCGGCATTCGCCCTGCAACAACATCCAGTCCCGCTCCCTTTCTAAAGCTGCTTCCCTACCGCAGGTTACTCAGGAAAGCATCTGGATGCAACTTGATCCTCAGAGAAGGGGACTCCTTAACCTCTTCAGGCAGCCTACTCTATCATTCTCACACCAACAGCATTCTTACTTCTGATGTTCAAGTCTGTGAATATTCTATCACTGCATGCCTCCCATCAGTGTCTGAACAAGCCCATCCCCATTAACTAGACTCCTACACCTCAGCAATTCGCTGTCAGCACTGATATTCTCACAACATCCACTGCCCTTCTCTCAATCTAACCAGTCACAGCAACACAGAAGGCCGCAGCTTGGTCCAGCTGCATTTCCCCCTCATCAAATCTACCATGATGACTCCGCACAATTTTTTTCTCATCAGATCACTTTCAGCTGTCACCTAAACCAAGCTGTCCCATCACCTTGCCGAGGAGGGAGGCGAGGTTCAATGCGATCCAGTTCCCTCGCTGGAAGAGCAACTCCACCGCTTCACCCGTCTGTCTCACTTATAAGGAGCACAGCCATCCACAACAGCATTCCAGTCGTGCAAGCTGTCCCACCACGTCTCTGTGACGGGAATGAGATCACACTCCTGAAGTTACAAATAAGGGGCAGGGAACAATATACGGTCCCATTCTGCCCGCTCCCACCGCTGGAAGCAGAAGGGGCTGAAGCACCCGCAAAACCCTTCGGCGGCGCCCCGCGCCGGCCCTCCCAATAAGGCCACGTGGAGCACGTCGACTGTGCCGTGCTGATCCCAAAGAAACAGAAGCGGCCGAGCGGCGGCCCTACGAAACCCCAACAACACAGAACTTACGTAGCGACTCCCAGACCACTCACCGCTTCCACCATCTCACCGCTTCGGGATGACGACAGGCTCCGCCGCAGCTTTCGCTCAGCCTGCAACAGGAGAAAGGAGAAAAACTCGTTTCAGTAGACCTTCGCGTCGCTTCTCGTTCCAAGCAGCACCGAGGCTGGAGGAATACGGCCCCATCCCGCTCGCTTCCACTGAAGAAATCAGAAGGAACCGAAGCCCCCACTAGAAGCGCACGGAGGGGCCGAGAGCACCCTAGGACCGCGCTAGAACTCGGGGAACCCAGCGGCAGCCGGGCTGCGATGTTACACCGGCTCCGACAAGCCGGAGGAGCTCGGCGGTGGCCCCGCGCCGGTCCCCGAACGGAGAGATCCCGGCGACCTCCTGCCGCGGAGAGCGGACGGAGCCGAACGGCTCCCGAGCGCTGGCCGCCTCCGCGGTCCCATCGCCACCAGAACGACTCACCGGTTCGCGCTGATCTTTACCGAGAGACATCCCACCGCAGCCTGAAACAAAACAACACAAATTAACGCTACACAGAATCCCAGGGCCTCCTTTTAAAAGCAGCCGATCGCAATGCTTTTCAGTCCCAGCGGCGCAAGGACCGGCCAACGCGACGGAGCCCGCCGCGTCTCCCACGAGCAACGAACCCGGGAAGCTCCTTCGTGGCTCCCGACGGCCTCCGACGGAGCTTAAGAGGCTTTGGGGCGGACCCGCCCCGCGCTGCGGACGAGGCGCAGCTGTGCCCGAGCGGCCGCGGCCCCGCGGCACCTGGGAGTCGTTGCCTCGTTAGCGCCGGTGGGGCTCGTTAGGGCCGGCCGGTGACACTGACAGTTAGACACGTGGGCTCTAGATCTGAATTAGGGACTTAAACTGCACTTTCAGTTAAAGTTTGCTATGCGCTTCTCCTCACCTCACTGTGGGATTCACTAATAAGTTAAATAATTGTGCCTAATTCAAACGGATCACTTTGCATCTCACACGACACCCTTCCAAAGAATGCCCCCAGCCTTAACAGTTTCCAGTGGCGTCCAGTCCCCTGCGTGCTGCCTCTGCTCCGCTTTCCCTCTCCCCTCATCCAAAAAATAAAAAAAAAAAAAAGGAAAAAAAGTTTGCTAAACATGTAAAAACTTTATACCTGATGGAGAAAACGTGACCTAAGGCAGCAGTGGAAATATGGGAGTAGCGATGTGACAAATGCCCAAATGGGTTAACAATGCACACGAGAAAATTGCCTGCTAGTGAAATATGAAGGGGAGCTTTACGAACGGCTCTGTACGGCGTTGCTCGGGATTACGTTCACGTGTCACACAAATGGGTAGGAACGCTTTCGGTGAGATTTCCGGTATCTCCAGTTAAGGACACGAGTACTCTGTAAAGACTTTGCAAACAGTATGTTTTGTTGGCAATTATAGGCCGCTGTTCTAAACAATTACAAGTGGGTTCCCACTGGCTGACGAGCGAGCTACTTTATCCTGAACCAGAGCTACGAAGCAATCCTCACTTTTTGTCCTTGGCAGTCAGCGGTCCACCCTGACGATGCAGTGACAACATGCAGAAGGGGTCATCTTGCGCGTGCACATCTCCATCTACATGCTGTGCTACAGCGTCAGATCATTGTTTTTCTTTCTATACGCACGCTTTAATTGCATGATATTGGCAAAGGAGAGTTGTGACTGTGGATGTATTCACTCATTGCTTAATGACGCTTGCATAATCGGTGACATATGCAATCTTAATGAAGACTACATGCAGTATGCTGTTTGTCTAATGAGAAATTTTAAGTGCATCTTTTTGTGGTTCATCGTGTGATCGCTAAGAAGGCTGGAATTAGTGAAATTCCTATGTGATTGAGTGAAAGGCTTTCTGTCATCTTTTATTCATAAAGAAAAAAAATGATTTAAAAAGCTTACGTTTCTTTTCGTGGAGGTACGAGAGTTAAGGACTCAGAAACGTACCTAGCATTGACCTGAACAGCAGTTACTAAGAGTTCAGGAATTGTTGCCTTGCAGAGAGCGAAACCTCTCACTCGATATCGCGCTGTCTATACCAAAAGGAGTTCCTAATGGCGTCCGCTTATTCAGGACCCGTGCAAACCTAAAAACAACCGACAACCTGCTTTTAATTGAAGACTGTTTTCCTCGGACGCTACAGGTACATGCTGGCTGTATTTGTTATATTCTGAAGTTATTTTGACTCGTCGTAAACTTCTGCGTGTAAAGTAAGGCCCAGGAAAGTCAGAAACACTGACTCTCCTTTCCCGAGGCAATGCTTAGTAGCCCAGCCTGTAAGATGCTGCCTGTGCCCTTCGAAACAGAAGTCTGAAAAAATCTGTGTATTTTCAGCTATAATCATTAAGTCTTAGCATCCCTCAAAGGAAAAGCAAGCGTACCAGCTTCCCTCTGCTAACAACACAGACTTCTCACGGACAGTCATTCGGTGGCATCACGATTCAGAGCCGCCCTAAACTAAACCCCTATAATTCAGCCTCACAGAAGATTTTAGAACCGCGTTTTAGATTAGGTCGTGAAGAAAAAAACACTGGGAGAGCATTTAACACTTAAATAGGTTTTGGATTTTGAGTCCTGTCCCTTGAAGGGTCTATGTTTATTAGGTTTATGATGGAAAGTCAATCTCGGCCTTAACTGCGGAGCAAATATATACAAGCTCCGCGTAGTGATGCTGCTACTCCTCTGAAATATTCTCTCTTGCTGCAGATACCCGTGAAAGCACATCAGCAGTACAAATGGCATTTATTGACGCTTCCTTTTAGCATGAACAGAAATGGTTGTAAAAATAAACCCAGTGAAATATTCAGCAATACGTTGGTGAAGTTGCTAAATAATGCATTCATCTGGCTCTAGAGGATGACCTGCGTGAAATTCTTTGGAGGTGAAGTGCAAACTATTATTTTGGCTATGATGTATTCCTGGGGAAACACTGCTATGAGAACTCCGTATTTCACAATGAAAGCAGTTCATTTTTAGCTCAAGAAGAACTTCCTTCTTAGGTGGTACTGAATCAGTAGCCTGGCGTGGTGCTAATGGGCGCTTTGCTGCTTGAGGTGCCATCCTTCAGAAGACAGACTGAAAGCGAGGCCTCTTTTCTTTCTGATTCTGATGGCTCTTACAGCATTTTTTCCTCCTAAATTTTGCTTTGTGCAGTTTTTATTTAATACGGTGTTCTTTTCTTTCCTGCCCTAAGTTGTTTCGTGACATTGCTGAGCACTATTAAATGACCAACGTATTTCCTCTGGCACAAAAGTTTTTATACCACGTGCACAGCCTCTGAGTAACACAATTACCTTGATTAACAGTGGATGGTAACTCTTTAGTAAAAATGCTGTCAATTCTGTTTGAGTTTTTGACATCTTCTTTACCTACTCTTGGTCAAATCTAGGCATGTATTTAGGAGAGACAATCAGTTATTTGATAGAGTATAGCTATCATTCATTGTCATAAATGTGAAAAGTTAGATGACTATTTTCCTGATATAAACTATTTATTCTGCAGTGTTTATTTCAAGAGGAAGGGAGAAACAATTGCAATTTTAGTATTTAGGGGATTTTAGTACACTGGTTATTCAATTTGAATCGTTAGACACAAACAGAATACTACGATAATTTTTGGTTTATTTTTGCTGCTTTTATGCTAAAGACAAATTTAAATGTAATAAGTATAATCTGTGTACACCCCACAGTTCTGCAGTCCCAGGGCTGAGCCAGGTGCACTTCGTTACAGGGATTCTTCTTGTGCAGGATACGCTGCTGTTGCTGAAGCAAAACATTAACCTAATCTAGATGGAAAAATAGTGGCCAAGGAAGATGAGTGTAAACAGGAAAGAAATACGTATCTCCTGGAATATGCAGTTCCTGATACCAGTGGGAAATGAGTAGAAGACCACACTGAACTTTATCAGGTAAGTGTATGGCCAGATCTGCATGCAGAAGGGAACCTCTGTGCTGGTGTGAGGGAAGTGTTGCCACAGAAAACAAACAAAATCTTCAAGAGATAAGTTCCCTGGGCACCGAGAGAGAATGGCCGATTACGCATTGCTGTGTGTCCAGATTGTGGCTGAGGAAAAAAACTTCCGTGACTGGAGTTTAAAATGCACTGTGATTTAGACATATGGTCTCAAAGGGAAATGTAGGTTCCTAGGGGTTCCTTGTCATTTTGCAGTTTACTTTGGCGCTAGGAAACAGTGTTTTGGGAATTTAAAAAAAAAAAAAAAAGAATACTTAAAGTAAATTTAATTTAGGGAGACACTGGGATGCTAACAACGCACAAAAAGAGTTATTAATGTCAGCTTTTTCTTGCAGTTCAGGCAAAATGTTTTTTTAATGTTTAAGCTCTATCAATTTTGCTTTAGAAAGCCTCCCTAATGCGCTGAAAAGTTTCAAGATACAACAATAACAATAAAACAATAACTAGTGCAGCCGAGACGCACCATTAGCACTGGGTGAGGGAAGAAAACAAGCTGTGGATGCAGGGAAATGTATTCTTAGACATTTTTTTTCCTGACTTTGTATAGCCTGCCCCCTCTCAAGTAAAGGGCAGCATATTTCCGATTTAGTGTAGAAGGATTATGTACATTATTTGCTAACTGCAATACCATATATATATTTTTCTTGTTGTTAGTGCTTTGCCAGAATTTGATCATGTAAAATAATTTGGGGTAAGATGAATGCAAGGAAGAGGAAGAGATGAACGTTGCCGTTTCTTTCCCAAGAACCCAATGGACTGCCAAATAGCGTTAACCTCTGGACTTGCTTGAAATGATTAGGAGCTTAACGTATCCAGGACCTCCAAATGACCATTTCTTACCCTGTTAAAGTTTCCAGAAGTACTGGGGAAAAAGGAGATGGATCAGAGAAGACGTCCCTCGTCTGTCCCTTAGAGTTCTTTCTTATGAAACACTCCTATGTTTCTGAATGAAATGTGGTTAAGATTGACTAGAAGTTTAAAGTGACTACCTTAGGATGCATGGACCAAAATGTTAATATTTTGTATACGGAAAAATATACTTTGTCTAGACAAAGTGCGATTATTAGCTGATGGCCTACTCTAGGCATACGCATTCAAATGAGTTCTTTCTGGATTTCGACTGGGTTGTATTGTGAGCACAAGAATAAGGTAAGCAATGCAGCTTTTTTAAAGGTACCTTAGAGATTAATTTCAGGTCACAAAAAGTTCTTATTCTTCTGGGAAATGTTATCAACCCTATTTTCAGATTAGAGAACAATCCAGTAAATTAAACCAGCTGCTACTGTTAATCCCATGTAACGTGATGTGTGACAGAAGAGAACGCTGAAGTTTTGTATAAAGCTTTGGTAGAGCACTCTCACGGCTGTGATACGATAGAGCTCCCCGTAGCGTAGTGGAAGGCTACAGGCAACAAGCCGAACTAATAAAATCATCGAACCCACAGGCAAATGAATAAGAAGAGCGATTTTCCAGCCCAAAACCAACTTAAAGTGTAGGTTATAAGGCGAGGGATGGTGGAGCACGTGAGCAGAAGCATGCATTTTGTAGGACAAGAGGGTAGATTGTTGGCTGGCGCATTGTCTGACCTGGAGTTAGCCAAAGAAGTTAGGCCTTGTTTTGGAGAGGCCAACTGCTGGGATTTTTTTCCTGCAGGGAAGATATTCTAAATCTACAAATATAATTTAGTGAGCGGAGGCCAAATTTGGGCCTGTCAACTTTGACACATCCCTTAAAAGATTCCAAATGATAGAAATGGTGTGTAAGAGAGTTGTAACAAAGGAGAGGTTTTCAGTTCTTTTAACAGAGTGCTACATAATCACACTTTCTTGCAGAAGCATTCAGTGTGAAGATCTGTCAATAGAAATCTCAAACTGTGAATATACAATTGAGCTTTATTATCCCTTTGTTATTTTGTAACTACATAGGTATGACAGACAGAAACTGATTTTAAAAGAAATTCACAATTGTCAGCGTGTCACATGCGTGAATCCCACTGCAGGAAGTTTTTCAGTAAATCGGCATCTTCAGGTAGTTGCACCAAATGCCGTATTTTAACAAAATCTTTTTGCCCATAGAAACACTCA